TACAAAATAACAAACAAAAATAGAGTATTGGCGCTTTAAGGAAATCTTGTTTTAATTTTTTTTTCTCAGTTTGTTTTAGAAAATAGCTACCATCAAAAGGTATCTCCACAGAAAAAATAAATCTCATTAGTTCTACAGTATTTTTAACCTGTGCAACAAAAGAACTGCCTTTCCCGGCTAAACAAGCATTGAGGATATTATTAGAACAGCTTTAAAAATAAGACAGGTCTTTAACAACTACAACAAAAACCAAATGGGAATAGCATTAGTGGCTTAAGTAACAACATAAATTAACAAAAACTTCAGTACCAAATGCACTGCACCCAACCAGTTTGTGGATATCCACAGAGACAAGAAACAAGCCTCCTAAGATATCAAAAATTTCCTACGAGAAGATACTAGTCTATTAAGTAAGTTCTGTGTAATCAAGCAAGCTACCACAGGACAGAGATGTTAATACTACTGCCTTTTTTGGAAAATACCATGAGCAGGAATCTCTTTAATATCCCCACCAAACTAAAGTATTTCAAGGTTATGTTCTAATGTTCGATCTACCTTGCAACAAACAACTCAAAAAGCCTAAGGACAAAAAGACAAAAGGTTATCAAGGCCATTGTTTTTTCTATACCTGGATCAACTTTCCCCCACTGCTCTTGATATAAGTTTGCCTGTGCAAGTGACAGAATCTATTAATGAACATTTTATGAATAAATTAAAAAAGTCTATTTTCATGTTTCACTATATCTAGCTATAATGAAAAACATCTAATAGTAACATGAAATCATCTCCTCTGCTATCATTTAAACTCACTACTTCTGGCAGTAATTGCCACAAGCCTGGAGAACAAGTTATTTGCATGCTTCACTGCATCAGATTTGACAATTTCCATTTCTTTCTTAAACAACCTCAGCTTATTTTCAGACTTCCCGCAAAGCTCTGACATTCTAGACTTCAGACCAATGTCACTATTCTTCCCCAGATTCTCCACAGCTAGACCATGTATTTCTTGAAGCTGTAACACAAAATCAGACATCGTATTCAGCAAAGGCCTTTCCTGTGCTCTGTGAAACAAAAGAATTCCTTCACTTATCTTTTGAGATACACTCCTGCAGAACAGAGATGGATATGAAGCATCTTGCAGCTAAAGTTTAAGTTCTCCTCACAGTTAAACAGGATGTCATTCACAGACTATAATGTTAGCTTAATCACTGAACACAAATGCAATGAAACATAATTGAGATTCAACATAAAATGTATTCCCAAAACTACAAAAGCAATGAAGCAAAAAAATATTTGGAAAGTTGAAACGATACAAACAACTAGCACATTTAATTGTAAACTCTTCAGAGAAACAGAAACCTAAGTTATCTTAACACCCTGCATGACAGGTTCCCTAAATGTTATCACAACAAAAATAACCCCAGTTTTTCTTGCTGTACCTGTGTTCCTTTACAAGAATTCACCACCTAGTTCGTACTATAAGGTCTGAAGCACCTTTTCATCCTATCTTCCTTTTATTTACCTTTCCATTCATTCTTAGTTTTATTCTTCTTCTTAAATCTGTTTTATAAGATTAAGGTTTCTAAATATATAACTAATTTTCATGCAGGATAAATTACAGTATTGTCGCCAAGAAAAGGATCGCCCATCCAACAACTCAAGCCCTTGCTTCACAACCTTCAAAGTAATTTTCATCTTCCAAAGAGCAGTTCAGGGCACAAAGCTCCGAGTACAGAAAATCCCATTTGAATTATTTAATATTAGTGTAAATAATCTCTAGCAACAAGAACAGAGCCTTTCCCCTCAGCTGTCACACACTCCTTACTATATCAACAACCCTGTAATACTCTGAAAACCTTCCATCCAAACAATCTCCTGTCCTGAGGATTCATCCTGGGGATTCATCCTGGGGAAGAAGCCAATCTACGTGCCTTCAGACAACAGTACTCATCCTGGGCCTCCCAACACAAGGGAAGGGTGAGTAGAAGAGGAAAATCTCTGCTGAAGTCACTTGCCCCTAGCACTTCAAATCCTTATGCCTCCAAGAAGAACCTACTTCCTAAATGCACTTTATGAGTGAAGGGTAAATGCTCATGAACTGTAATGTAGAAAAAAAAAGTATAATAATTGCTACAGCTTTCATGCAATGACTTTGCTATTATAACATTTTTAGTATCAACAGTTAAGCTACTGAAGCAACTTCTAAAGCACTAAGTTTGTATTTGACTAAAAACTGACCAGGAGTTGAATATGGCTTAATCTTGTTTTTCAAAACCCTGACCCTTGAATTCATCAGCAACACTGATGTAGTTGTAACCAACACAGAGCACTCAATTAGGATCTTGATATGGAATGTATCCTTTACAGAAGTCTCCAACTTAAAAGTCTACGTAAGACTCCTTCAAGGTCTGTCATAAATTCTTGTTGTCCACCTCGCTTTTAAAATTAGAAACAGAGTACAGAACTGAAGGTTTTCCTCCTGGAAAGCAGGAGTGCATTTCCTGAAAAATTACAGGGAAATAAAACTTTCCAGGTATCTCTTCAAAATAAGTGATGTCATGCTCCTCGATGGGCTTCCACAACAAGGTTACTTTCTAAGCTTAGATTTACCTTGTCTGGAAGGAAACACTGGAAAATGTACTTGCATTAGAGCCATGAGTCAGTTAGAAGCACTTTTCCTCACATGTCACTTTGAATTTGCATTATACTTTAGGTTTGCTTGTTTTAGTGTTAAGGACAGTTTCCATTTTAAATGTATGAACAGTTTTTCAGTCTTGAACTTTATTACAAGTTTAAATGAATTAATAGGTGTACTTCTACAGTAAACAAGATTCAATTACTGATGACCTGAGGAAGGGCTAGCTAACTAAAGAACAAAACCACATCAGAAAATTGAAATTCTAGTGCCAGCTCTTAGACCTGCGTGTTTCACTATTTCCAACATGTAAGAAGTTGGCTTTTAAACAATACAAGAATGCCCACATACACTTCCTAACCTTGACTATGTGCACCCATACTTGCAATGTACCCATCTCTTTGGCTGGCAGGTATTCCAGATACCAGCTTGCTGCTCTCTCCCAGAGATGTAAGATATGGGGGGAGAAGCAGCTACACAGTATGATTTAGCATTTGGAGTCAAGTCTAATGACTGACATTTTTGAAGTTCAAGTGACTTACAACAGTCTCACAAACACACCCCCCCAGTGTGAAAATGTATTCCTAAAAAGTCCTGCCTCCTGCCACTGCTTTCCCCTCTCTCTCGCACTGCTGCAGCTACGGCTTAGCTACTGGTATCACTGTTTCTAAGGCCACAATACAAACCAGATATTGAAATAACTCCACAGAGATTTGCCGTTTTTTTCTGGTAGAAATAACAGAGAAATTCAGCTCCATGCACAAATGCACCAGCACAATCTGGGCAACAGAAGTCAGCAAGAAGCTTTTTACCCTCATTTTGCTACTGGAAGCAAGCATTTGTTAAACCCCACTCTCCAGGTATTTCCGTTTCTCAGCCAGTTGAGAGTTTCTCCTGACTCAGGAAAGTTAAGACTGGACTTGCATTACTCAAAGCATTTAATAACACTGCTGGTTAGTTTAAAACACATGTATACTGCCGAGGTTTGCCTGACTTCAACAAGAAAGCCAGCAGCTCCTTAAGACCAGGGAATCAATCTCACCTCTCACTAGCATCATCAGAGGCCTACTCCTTCCCCATTTTTCCTTTCTTGCTGTCTACCCAGTATGAGCTCTACTATTTGTCACACTTCTCAATTCATTAATTCCACTATGCTATTAATAAATAAAACGGATAAAAAAGATAGGGTTTTCTTTCCTGGTGAGTTGGGATTCAAACTGCACCCCCCTGTGACCTGATGATCAAAGCCTCATTTTTCCTGCTTGAGGCTCTCCCTACAGCACAGTAAGGAGACATTACCTGGTAGGCTCTGCACCTCACAGGGTCACAAGACCCTGTTTACAGATGAGAGGTCCTGTACTGGCGACAGAAACACGGTTGGGAAAGCTGAGATTAAGTAATCTTCAGCAACTAAGGTTTGGAACAAGAAGGCAGATCTTCTGGCATCTCTATTTACCTCCAGAATGGACTTGATGCATGACATTTGGCAATTCATTCTGACTCCAGTGCTTACAGACTTCAAATCTGCAAAATACCTTGTGCTGTTACAAAGCATTTTCAGTTTCAGAGGCCTCAGCAACTTACACTTTAACCCTAGTAAAACAGGTAGTACCGCTCACTCTCCATGGGATTGGGAAGTTAAGTAATATGCCCCAAAACACAGGAAGTATGCAAGAGAGACACAGACCAGAGGCCTGACATCCTCAATGCCTGCACAGTGTCCTGTCCGTTAACATTTCCTCAGACTCCTTGTGCAGCAGCGGCAGGCCAGGGCAACATCCACAGACGGAACCGTCCCCGACCCCGCTTTTAAAATACACTTCGAGTGTTTCAAAACCACGAGGGGAAACCGATTACAAAACCCCCACGCAAGAGCTTTGCCGGCAACAGCCACCAGGTAGAAGCAAGCATGACAGCGGGGGCACGGAGGTGGGCTCCGCTAAAACCAGACCGTGACCTACACCCTCCCGAACTGAGCGCAGCGCGACGCGGCGGGGAAACCCCGGCCCCGCCGGTCCAGCCGCCCCGCCCCCGGGACAGAGCGGGCGCCGGGGGGTGCGAGGCCGCGGCGAGGCGCGGAGGGAGCTTCCCCGCCCCGGCACCGCATCCCCGGCGGCGGCGAGAGTGAGTGGCGCCCCCGCCGCCGGAGGGGGGAAGAGGCCGGGTACTCCCCGGAGCGGGGATCCCCGCCGCCGTCCCCACGCCGCGCCCTGCCCCGCAGCGCCCCAGGGAGCCCCCCGCCGCCGCCTCTGCCGCCTCCACCGCCCGGTGAAGGCCCGCCGGCGGCTCCCGGGTGCGGGCCGGCCGCAGGGGGCGGGTGCACGATGGGCGGCGGGTGTCCGCCGCAGCCGCCGTGTGGGCTCACCTCCTCCGGGATGGCTGGATCGCCGCCGCCTGCCGCGTAGCAGGCGCCGAGCGCGGGCGGCGGCGGCTCAGGTTCCATGTCCCCGTTGAAGAGCGAGGCCCCCTCCGCGCTGCTGCCGCTGCTCAGCGCCGCCATCTTGGACCGAAGCGCTGTGGCGAGGGAGGGGGAGGGGGCAGCCGCGTCCCCGCCGCCGGGACGCCCCCAGCCGCGACCCGTAGTGGGAAGGGGGAGGGGGGCGAGCGCAGGTCCCGGCCAGCTCCCAGCGGCCCGTGCCACCGGCACGTCACGCCCGGCCCCGTGACGTCACCCAGAATCGCCGCCTTGGCCACTGCGCATGAGCTGCTGACGTCACCGGGAAACACCTTGACGTCACGGCGCGACCACCCGTCGCCCTGGGAACTCGAACGTGGATTCGGGCCACGCCCCCGCGCCTCAGCGCCCCCTTGCGGCATGGTAGCGCTGTCGCCGGCGCTGTACACCACCCATCCCGCTGGACCGCTCCCTGGGCTCCGCGACCCGGCTGAGGCGGCGGGAGGAGCCCCTCTGAGGCCCGGCTGCGGGCAGGGAGCGGAGGGGGAGGCTGTGGTGGCGTGCCACAGCTGCACCTGCCGGCAGGTCCTGCCAGCAGCGGCCTCCGTGACCGGGCGGGGAGCTCCGCAACGGTGAGGGGGATAAAACCAGGATTCGGGTGCCGGCAAGGTTGAAATGAGAAGGAAATAGGGTCGTACATGCGGTGTGCGCTGAGCGGGTGCTACAACAGGAGTGCTACGACTGAGGTCTGGGAGCGCGTCCCAGTTTCTGAACAGGAGTGTCCATCCTGTCTGCACCTTGTCTGCATGACGGGACACACGCTGCCTGCCCCAGCAGTCTGACTTATCGGGGGAAAAGGTGGGATCACACAACGGACCTGCCGTAGACTTCGGTCCGCTGTTGAGAAGGACAGAGGAACCAAGCTGGTAGGCAGCGTGCGTTGCGAAATGACGCTCCTTCCAGCTCAGAAACGACGACCTGGAGCCGACAGCCACTGCTGTCCCCCAAAGCTTGCTCCCTCTGCATCCCCAGTGCCTGTGGCCATCTTCCCCCCAGAAAGGCAGAATGTTTCCATTTAAAGTAAAAAATCGACTGGTGTCTTATCTCTGTATGCTCAAGCACTGAAATGCTGCTTCCACACATAAAGCATTCACTAAATCTGTGTTTTAAGTTGCTTTCTTGCTGAAAAGCTGTTTATGATAAATACCAAATTGGTAACAGTATTTTAATGCACTGCAAAGAAAAGCTGACGTATCAGCAGAGCAGCAGGATTTCAGAGAAGGTAAAGGCTGTCCTATCACAACCTGATATATTTTATGGTAGTCAATTAAAATAAGTTGAAACATGCAAGTGCAAACATCCTTATCTTTGTTTCATTTCAGTTATGAATATGTAACCATACAACCCTTTAATGTAACAATCCTGATGACAGATTTGAGGTTTATATTTCACCCTTCACACTGGGGGCCATCAATGTGTAAAAACATTTCAAATTCAGTCTGATACCAGTGGTGCTGTAGCTGGTAAATAAATGCAACGTTAATTTACTATATGGGCGCAGCAAAATCATGATGGAGTCAGGAATACCAGACCCTGTGGAATGGAGGGAAGGAGCTTCAGGCATGAATTTATCAGAGGGTCTTTCCTGCAGAGAGCTACACACAGTATTAAACATCTCCTGAATGCAGAAATAAGCCAAATAATGTAGTTAATATTTAAATGGATTTTAATTAATTACCTGACAGGCTATGCTTTCCTGAGATAGGTTCTCCTATCTGGAGATAGGTGGCCTGCACTCAACAAAAAGGCTGCACAAATGTGAGAACCAAATGCACAAACTAAGCAGCTTGCCAAGTTTAGAAATTTCTCTCTAATAGCCACATTAATGAAGAGGATAATTATCAGCAATTCCTGCTATGCGATGGGAATGTGTAATGGTAGTGGAAAATGCACACAGACTCTGGAGAATAACACATATGCTGAGGACTAAATGCTGGGACAAATTTATCTTATCTGTAAAGGAAGATGTGGTGGAGGCAATAGGAGATGGCTCTTCCAGCACACAGCCCATTGTGGAACAGCCAGCAGAGTAATACAGCCTTAACTAACAGAGTAAGTGCATTCATTTCAGTGACATTTACTAACAAGGGATAATGTAGTCTCAGTGTACAGAATGTAGTCATAGCCCTTGTTTTAATCCCCAAGCAATTTGTGTCCTGGCCACAACTCTAGCTGTGGAATTAGTAGACTACTATCAATCTTTGACTTGTAATACGTTTCTCAATGACTTTAGTAATCTTGTGTGACTTTGTTTCTGAGCTTCTGATTTTTTTTTCAGAAGATTTGCATTCACATTGTTATATTTGCCAAGCTTTCTTACTGTATTTGATGTACCACCTGAAAACTTACAGTTCTAAACCCTAGTATTGAAACTGGTGACCAGAACTGGGAACACAGCAGTTATCAACCAAAATACATGAGATAAAACCCCCCAGTGTTCTACCAAAAATAAGGAATAGAATACTACTTGAAAAGAAAGTTGTGTAGGAAAGAGAAATAAATTTACTATTTATGCCATACTTTATTTTGGGGAAATCCACGCCTAGTGATAAATGGAATTTATTTATGGTGCCTCACACGATGGCATCTTTGGTCTGTCTGCTTAATCCATCATGACGGAAGATAAATCATTAATAATTGTAACTATTTCTTGGTGATATGAAATCCTGTCTACTGAAAATTGATATCATCAACTTTCACAGAGACTAGCTTTCATTATCAACATAAGTCAAAATCACAACCTAGATGTGAAAGGCTGGTTTCTGCTATCAAACCCAGAAGCCACCGGGTTAACTCGTACAATGCAGTACAGCCAGTTTATCTGGTATAGCAGCAGGTAATGCATACTTGTAAATACAAATCCTGCCACCTCCCATCAAATTCTTAGTTATGCACTGGGGTTAGATCTGCCTCTTAATTTTCTTAATTTGAATTCAGATCAGAAAACAAATCCAGTTGTTAAAAGACAAACCCACTTCAGATAGATTGCCCACTACCAGCACATTCATCTGATTTAACCAATACCTGAACTTCCAGAGAAAAAGGTTTTAATGAGTCAGTAAGAAAAATTATATGTCTGCCTGACAGCATCTGTCTCATTGTGAGCATTTGAACATGTCTTTGTCTTTTCCCCCAACGAAGAAAAATATTAATGAAATGCTCCAAAACATGAATGTCAAAAATGGAAAGACAGATGTTGATGGAACGCAGATACTAATGACAACAGTCATGTTCACTGTTATCTTGGCCAGAAAATGTGAAGCAGAACAAAACTTATGCAGTTGTCCAGAGTTCATTCATTTTTCATTACTAGTCAGAATAATGCGTACTTAAGAAAATTACTTTGCTCTCTAGGAAAAGAATGTTAAAGACGTTTGTTGAGAAAAAAAAAAACAACTGATTTTTTTTTTAACACTTCCCTTTAGCACCCGTATCGGTTTATTATCCCCCTCACTTTAAGATATGCTATACATCTTTTCATATCTCTATGGATTGGTGTCTGCTCCAGTGTGAAGGAACAGGGTGAGCAAAGCTGCTTTATTTTTTTTTTCCTGCTTTTTTTTTTCTCTTCTCTTTAAACTACTCCTGCACCGACCTCTTGTATTTTTATCTTTGGTAACTTTCTGTGAACTTCTAGGATACAAGATTTATCATTCTGTGATGCTGCTAAACTTCAAACATTCATACCTTCAGTGAGAAATCAGGTAATATTCAGGTGCTGATTTGAGCTGTGCAGCTGAACAGCCTCAGCTGTATTTTATTCAGTTGATGGAGACTTCATTGCCCTTTGCTTTTGAGTGAAATACACAAGCAGAAGTGATGAGAATGGATGGAGACTAGGAGAAAAAAAAGAAGTAGGGAAAAAGGAGAAAATGTGAATCCCCCAGATTCTTCACTCAGTTTTCATTCTACCATTAAAAGCAACGCTGATCTAACAGCTTTCTTTTCTATATAAATAATAATGTATTCTGGATCTTCTTGTAATGATATTGGAAGTATTTACATAGTTTTAATTTGATTCCAGTATAATTTATTTTAAAGTAATTATTTATAAAACTATAATTTCTTATAGTTTATATACCACAGCCCAAACTTTCAGAAAGTAAACCCAAAACATTTTCCTTTGGAGGCAACGTGTGGGAGGCAGGGAGCAGGGTGATGGGATAGGGAGTGACTTTGCATATAGGTCCCTTTGTACTCTGCATGTTCAGCGTTGCAAGAACAAAACGCAAACCTGCTTCCTTCCTTATCTGAGCACTGATTTTAGGGTCCAGCAATGTATGTGCTGCACTGCAGTGCTCTGCCTCTCTCTCTGCTGGCTTTCTGCCTTCTCTCATATGCCAGCATGAGAAGCTAAAGAAATCACACATTTCATTGAAAATAAAATAAAATAGTATAAATACTGACAGACGTGGCATATAAGGGACCACTGAGAGAGAGCATGAGGCCTGAAACCACTGTTAAGAGAACAGAAGTAGCAGCCAGTAGAAAAGGAGGGGAATCAGTAGAAAAGGGGGAAAAAAGATTAGGTGGAGAAAGAATGCAGTAGAACTAGGCACTGGAGAACAAGATGTGGCTCTCCTAGGAAATGAGAAGCAAATGAAAATGGGGAAACAAAGGAGTAAGGAGCACTGATTTTCCTGCATGACATACTTTGCTGAAACCAGGACCAAATCTTAATGTTTGAGAAGATTAGTCAAGACAAGATACCTTAGCATCCCTTGTTGTTTCTTTAACATATTCAGCTTGTTTGGATATCTGATTTCTGAGTCCTTTGTGTTGGACAGTGATAAGCTGATCAGCTTTAAAGACTGTATAGTTTTAAGTTTCTCACATTATTAGTCCAGTGTGAACAGTCATATTTCATAACTCAAACCCATCCCATTTAGGCACAAAAAACTGCTAATGAGACTGAGTGAGTTCCAAGAAAGGACAGGAAAGGATACCACCTCAAACAAATTATTTTGCTGTTCAGAAAATTACTGTTCATTTATGTTGAAGGATCTTAGGATTTTTTCTTCGTAATATCCAGGCTAGCTGAGTTTCCCCTGGCCTGAATATCTGCTGTAATTTGATTCTCCAGCACTTTACAGACAGATTGGTAACTCTCTACACCTCTGATCTAACAACAGTTTTGATAGGAACTGCACCTTTCAGTTTCTAGCCTCTTCACTGAGCAGGAAAAGTCCTTTAGGGTTGGTATTGGCCTGGAGTAAGGAAACTTTGAGAGTCCAAAAAGGCTAAATCAAATATATGAATCAAAAACAGAAACTGCAGGTTTGACATGGACC